ATAACGTATTAACTCTATACTTACTTTATATACTATAAGCGCGTCTATATAGTTAATTAGAGTAGTATAACTATCTTCTAATCTACTAATACTAATATTAAGAAGAGGTCTACACTACTATTTTAGTATAAATATATTAAACTTTAACTAAATAGATATATATTATTTTAGATCTCTTAGTATATACTTAGACAGAGGAGAGTAAAAAATAATTATTATAGTAGAAGAGAGCTCTATAGGGATAGATAGCTTTTCTAACAGGCTTAGCTTAGCACGAGATAACTACTAGAATTATAGCTAGAAAAAGAATTATATTTTTAAATAGATAGATTTAAGATAGTATTAGAATTAATCTATAGTTAGGATAAGATAAGATAGAATAAGATAGACTAAAGATATAGTAAATTTATAGATATTAGAGAGCTTCGCTGCACTATATATCCTTATTATAACTATAGTTTATTATATTATTATCTTATCGTAACCGTAGTTCGCTATTCTACTACCTTCGTCGCAACTATATTATAGTTATCGTACCTAATAGAGTTATACCTTATTATTATATACTTATTAAAAGGTTTATAATATTTTAGTAGTATTACTAAACTATTTCTAAGAGTTTAAAGCAGAGTCTCGCAGACGTAAGTCTCTTAGACCCTTACCTAATTTTTTACTTTAACTATAGTTATTTTTTTAATACCCGATTTTGGCAGGTTAGGGTGTAGTCTACTATTCTTTTCTAAGATAATTAATCTAATACGCTATATAGCAAACAGAGAAAAAAAAGTCAAGTTATTAAAGAGCTCTAACTAGTATTATTATAATAATATCTATAGGTAATAGGTAGTTTAGTAGAGTTTTAGTAAAAGTAGCTAGCAGATCTATAAAGCTATCGAACCTATAAGGTACGTTAGTAATATAGATTAGATTTATTAATCTATTATTATCTTTTATATAAGTACTCTACCCTACTATATTATTAAATAATTACTTTATAGAATACTAGTGTAAAGCTTACTAGTCTTAGTGTAGAATCTAGTAAAAGAAGTATAGATCTAAACTCTATATAATATATCTCTACCTAACTCTTAGTAACCTTATCTCTATCTCTACTTAATCTTAGTACTAAGATTAGATAGAGGTTAGGTAGAGTTTTATAGGCTATATAGGTTGGGTAGGGGTAGGGGTTAGAGTCTTATATAATCGCTACCCTACCCTACCCCTACCTAACTCTTGGTAACTCTACCTCTACCCAACCTCTACCTAAATACTAGTCTAATCAATACTCTCTAAGAACTTTAAATAAGGTAGCTCGAATAGTCGCTATCGCAACTTCTGCAAGCTTAGGGTGTAGAAATTCAAAAATGAGGAGATAGCGCATATACATGCGCAGCATCGTTTAATTAAGAACTATCAAAGGAAATTCCTACATATTTAAGACCATCTGATATTTAGTACGCGGTCTAGGTAATGTAGGCGTGAGAGAGATTCAATATTACGAATCTAATCTTTCTCGTTCGTCCGTTGGTAACTCCAATATTCTCGGTAAGGTTGACGGCGTCATAGCTTAGAAGGGCGCAAGGGTGAAGTTTGGTGTCCACAGCCAGCAGGTAGCAAATCAACCAAACATCTTTCCTTCCGTTCAGTTGCTTCTCCAGTGTTAAGTAGATAAGATAGGAAAAGAGATTGTAAGGAGAGAAACCCCACGGGTACGTGGTTGAGGCAGACTGGCCTATCTTTGATGATTGAGTGGAAATGCGGAATGAGGTAATCATACGTCTCTTCGGACATGAAAGATAGACAGCTTTCGCAGACAAGTGATTCTACAACCTCTGTGGATTCGGTAACCACTCTTGAAATATCTTCCTCATGCCTTGCCAATCCCCTTCAACAGTCTCGCGATTCTCAGCATCGATGAACTCCGCATTATTCGTCCCGCCAAAATCAACTGCCCACGCATCCATTGCCTCGTCTATCACGACATTCATAGGATGCACATCTCCCCACACAATACCGTGCAAATGTAGCTCTTGTATAGTCGCAGCAAGCTGTTGCTCCCACTTTTGATGTAAATGGGTCATCTCCTGTAGGCCGGGACTTTGCACGTGAGTTCCGAGAGCAGATGACGTGATCATCGTCATCAGCAAGCCTACTATTTCCTCATCGGCTGATATAACTAGACCTTCCAGCTTGGGGACGCGAAGTTTAGTCGTTAGACCCGCTTCGTAGATACGTGATAGGATACACAGCTCGCGTTCGAATTCTATTTCTCGCATTTCCTGGCGCGGTTTGAAGAACATTGGGGTTCCGGCCGCTGTTATTACTCTTCCGTGGATAGCGTCGATATTCTTTTCGCCGTTTAAGATGGGTGCTATATTGATGTCGCGTGCCTGAAAGCGAGGAATTGTCTTGTGTAGATCAGGGAGGTCGGCGGCGCGCGCAGGAGAAGTAAAGAAAGCTGGTATGTGCTGTACATCATTCTGCCCCTCGATATGTATGCCGCCATGCGTGCGTTCGCTCGTAAGCCGTAGATTGTATGTAGGTGAGTGAACAAACGATTCAAGGCTGAGTTTTTGGAGTGAGACGTGCGGTGCCAAACTTTCGACGAGAGGCAGACAGTGTTGCAAGATCAGGCCGAATATTGGCTGATCTCTGACCCTACCCCATGACTGTTGTTTCCACAATTGTAGACGTTGCAGAAGATCCTGACCAAAGCTTGTGTCCTTCACGTGCGAGATCTTGACTTCGATATGGATTTGTGTGTGGCCACGCAAGACCGTAACTGTACAAATCTCAGGGGTAACATGACCTAATGGACCCAAATTGATATAGTAGTTTGAAATCATCGTAAAAAATGAGGATACGAAGAGTACTCACAGTCACCAACACGCCGATACTAGTTTCTCTTATGCATCAGGCATGGACTTTGATTACTTTGAAGTTGCACGATTACGTCACATAACATGGAGATAGGCAACAAATCCTACGTCATAATCGTCATCGCTAAATTCTAATGCTTCCCCGAACTTCCTCAGTTTCAACTAAGGCGAAGTCTTTTTCTAGGGGGATTGTTGTAACATATTTACATATATCATGTTAGAATAAACATCATGTCAGATCAAATTTGAGACATGTGCTAAAAGCTAGATGTGATCCAATCTAGGGGTTGAAAGTTGGTGCAAAGCGGATGAGCATCTGTAGCTACCTTGCCTCCGCTACGCCCCCTTGCTCCACATATAGAAGTCTCAATGACAGTACGCGATCCAAGTTTTAGCTGTAAAGTCACACTCGCACGAGTTTGGGAGATAATTGCTAGTGCACTGAGGTCATAAGCCATATGTACACATAATAATTATTTTAGAACTCACACGAGACTAGTCTACACATCTAACTTTACGATTTGCGCCATTCCAAACACAACGACAAATTTGAGAGCCTGAGTTGCACTTCTGTTGCAGGACCAGATATATTAGTAGATGTCTCGTGGTAACAGAAGGAGTAGTCGTACGCCAGACACAACCAATCCTTGACGAGCCTCGATCTTGAGCTCTTCTTTGGCCTCAGTGGCAGGATCAGGTACTGTCTTGGGAAGAGCAAATGCATTTCCTAGTTGAGAGAGGGCAATGAAAGTGAGGGCAAGTTGTGTGAAATGCATGTTTTCGTGGTTAGTGAAGACTGTGGGTTGAGATAGCAAATCTTTAAGGTGAAGCACGTAGATTATATACGTCTTTCAGCCAAAAGTAGCACTAATAATGTTGAAACTCGGCCATGAAGACCGAGCCCTGCCTTACCGAAGTAGGTGGAGCAATTATTCATTGCCGCATGATCTATAGAGGCACAGTGAACTCACTCTCCACGCCGCGCCTCTAGAATACTCACTGAATACCTCCAATTGGTCATGTGTCACACAACCGGCATAGTTACGAGGTTCCAACACAATACTAATATATGATATGCTTGAAATTATTGCTTTTTAGGCAGGAGAAGGCTAGCTATTACAAACCCGATGCTACACAAGATGCGCAACCGATGTATCCGTTAGATCTTGCTAATCCATCCCATGCTTAGCCATAGCAGATACGGAGAGAGTAGAGTATTATTGGTGGAGGATCAATGCACAAAAGAGGGGTATATGGTGTGAAACTGCTGTCTTAATGGGATGCGGCGCAGATGCCAAGTTCGGGGTCAGGTTCGCGGCGAAGTTCAGGGTTAACCGAATGCCCTACATCTCGATTGAATCTTATTGAGGTTCCTTGATCCTCGACGTAGCTTTTAACTTTTAGTTTTTTCAAATTCAGCAACACATTATCTCGATACATCTATACAACTCTTCTAGAAGGTTATCTGCTATTAGCAAGGTTACTATCCTTACACCATGTCTCTGAAGTATCACTATGCCTATTTACCTGTATCTAACCATGATAATGAACCCGAGACGGTTGAATCACTTCAGTCAGCAACCAAAGAGCTAGGACGACGCAGATACCCTAGACGCCAGTACATCATCTGCTTCATTGGTGGTCTTCTCTTTGGTGTAGTTGCCACATATACTTGCATACTTGTCCTTCAACAATACAGAACGATTAGTCGACAAACTCCTTCAGATATTCCGCCTATCAAACATCGTCAAGGCATATCAGCGTGGAATTGAACGACAATACTTGGATCTGAAGAGAGCGACCTGACGTGCGGTCGTGACTGGCATGAGGCACAGGAGGCAGGCTGTCGCTATAATGTCATGGCATCACGCTGGTACTCGAAAGAGTGTTTCCATGAAGAGGTCCTCTAGGAAATGCTCCTTGAGGTCAAATTCGACTGGGTACCTTGACACTCTGTGCCTGTGCAAGGGCGATGGGCTCCATGCTAACAAAGAAGTAGTACGTTTGCAACATGAAGCACGCTACGGAACATCTGGCTATGTTCCTGACTGTATATGAGCTTTCACAATGCTTCTCCATCTGCTACTGACCGTGATCTACCGCTATGAAGGCTCTGTAATTGCGCTAATGGCACTCTAAATAGGTTCTGGGACATCACCCACAGAGAACCAGCAACACTCGATGATGCACTCTCTGGACGTTATGACCTATTCCCATTGGAATACTACCACGTATTGCACACACTTTGCTGCGCAAGAAGCTTGAAGACTAGGCTAACAGAAAAGGCATAGATGGTAGCGTTGATGAGCTAACGGCGGCGCTGGACAATATGTCTCTCGCAATCGCACAGGCAGCCGAGCATATTCAATGTCTTACCTCGCGATGCTCAATGCAGCAGTACCCAGAAGAGTTCCGTCAAAGCAACAACAGAACGACGAGCCTCTTAAACCAGACGGCTGATCATATGTTCCACGATGAGGCAACCAGCAATATTGTCCACATATCGTAGCAGATCCCACTTGATAATTTCCGACGCACTAGACAATCAGTGGTCGACTGGTTGTCGCTTGTAAGTCTCTTTGACCGGCACGGCATACGTTCGAGCTTGTGTAGAGCTCAAAAGACAATGAATCATTCTTGTTAATGAGCCACTTTATCTGCTTTGACCACTCCTCTACGGAAGTATCAGGCTTTGTCGAAACGAAGATCATAGTATCGCGAATTGACATAAGGAGCATTTCAGGTGATGAAGTAGTATTCTCTTAGTTATGAATCTTTGCAGCTTGAAAAGCATTGTCCTTCCAAGGACTATACTACACCACCAGCAAGGCAACTCGAGTAAAGACTGCAGTAGCGATAATCATTAACTATGTTTATACTAGTTATAGCTTTTACAGAGTTGCTCGCAAAAATACAGGAAATGAGTATATACCACTAAGTGCGCATTCGACTTCATCGGGATGGGTCGGAGCAACACACGCTGTTAGGATTTTAGTCTCATCCGGGGGTTTTACCGCGAGCTAGATTATTCCGTGTGTAAACTGCTGGCATATTTGATCAAGGTGTGATCGAGTTTATTGTTACGATGGAATACGATAGCGATGCATGAATCTCGGGTATTACTTCGTGTTCTGCCGGATGTTGCTCAATGCGTTCACGGGCAAAAAAACGGTGTGACTGCTCTTGGTTAGCCTGCCGCTCGTTTGGCGTTAGTCTCGGTCCCACTGCGTATTGATCGACGGCTTGGTGGGCTTAATTGCAGCTTTAGCTGCATATCATAATCGGTCCTGGAGGGGGCTTCGTACGAGGAAGAAACGCGATTTAATCAGCTCTAAAAAGCTTAATGCCAATGAGTATAGTAAGATATCAGGAATCTACATTTTCGGATAGCGCTAGTCACGTAACGAATACTAAAATCCTATCTAAAAAGGAAGCTAGAATATAAGCAAGTATATAAGCTCAAAAACTAGTTGGAGTAGCTAGAAAAGGTAGGAAAAGAGTAATGAAAAGGAATAAAAAAGCTACTCTCTATAGGAGCTGCTAGAAGTAAAGAGTGCGTGCTAAAGGTACGCCTTCAATTAGTAGTTTTGATAGCCCGACTGGTGATGCTGAGCTCAAGCTGCACCCCCTTCAGCACCGCCAGCCGGGCTGTCAAACTACCGATTTTAGGCTTTGAGTGGAGAAGATATTCGTAAAACTTATTGGTGGGTTTGGAATATGTAACGCTGCAGTGGCAATAGGCTGACATCATTCGAATTCTCCTTAGCAAGCAAGCCTGATCTTCTTATGTGCACACGGGCCACCAGGAGCCGGACGTTTCAATGATCGAGTCATTAGCCACGAAGAGCACTGGTCCGCTGTCCATCAGTCACTAAAAATATACTATTAGGGCCGACTTGCTATTACCACATACATGATGTGCACGTCCATAGAATTGCGTATATAAGGATTGGTGGTCACCTTGGAGCTCATTACCATACAACAGCTTGTCAACTCTAATCATAACCCTAATTCAATCCACACTCGCTCAAATCACACGATGAAGTTTCTCGCCGCCGCCACCCTTTTCGGCTTCGCTGCCGCCGCCGTTGAGACCGTCACTATCTCCAACTTTGTCTACGTCGGCGTCAATGGCTACCCCCAGATCTCCTTTCAACTTTCTGTTGATGGAGTGAGCTGCGCAGCTGATCACTACACCGTCGACTCACTGGGTAACAAATGCGATAACCCTGAGTGGACTTTCGACATTTTCGAGGCACAAGGCCGCATGATTCGCTTGCACCACACCGTTGATGGGTACGTTAGAATCAAGTGTTCAAAATTTGATACGAAGTTACTGACATGATACCAGGGTCACCCACACTGGTGATTTCCGCATTCGCTTGAACGGTCCTATTCCCACCGTGCTCGACCAGATTGGTACCGCCACCGCCGACCTCGACAAGATCACGTCCTAGAAAGTTATGAACCATAGATATATTAATATAATGAGAGTTCATCATTTTTATGCCACGCTTTTTTTTTAACAATAAGTTTTGAATTGAAGCTTTACCAAACATAGCTCGAGAGGCAAGCTACGTACTGCAAATCAAGCGTTCAAAGCCTACAGTTACTTCTACGTGTCCTTACGTACCGTTGGTGGACTATGTTGAAGGCCTCGATTGTATCATTCAAATCGCTGCCAAGATTATGCTGGGGCGCATCAAGTATTAATAACTTTGGGAATCCGCGGAATATCTTATCCGAACTGGCGCTGATTGGTCGGGAGGTTCGTCCGTCACCGCCAAGCCTGGCAACAGAAGCAAGACAACGGCTTACTTTTTTTCGCGCGCTGCCCAGACTATTGATCCTGTACTCCCCTATACACCTGTTCATCAAACTAACGCTAGTTACTCATTCGGGTAGTTCCCTGGGGATTTCTATTACCTGCACACAGTTGATGTAGGCGCAATGCCCCCTCTACGGCCACTCCTGCCAGCAGCCGAAGGGTATCAGAGAAGCTGACCCACAGCCACGCCTTCAACAAAGCAGAAAGCGTCGGCAGCATGTCAGAGTTGCCGTAAATCTAAAACAAAGGTCCACCGCTCGTCATAGCCTGCAAGCCATCCGCTCCAGAGCTAACAGTATTGTAGTGCGATGGCAGGACGCCGACATGCAGTGCTTGTATACGGCGTTCAACAATCTGCCAGTACACTCATACAGAGACGCGTTAGATCAGGCAAAGATATGCTCAACTGCAAAAGCAGGAATCTTCACATGAGGAGCTTATCGGAATGATTAGGAGTATGCCAGAGCAAGATGTTGCCGAGATTATCCGTCGCCTAAAAGCGGGTATGGATGCCGCAACAATAGTAAGCTACGTGAGGGATGGCAATCTGCTCGTGCAACTCTCATTGACACCAGAGACTACTCGTCGATATGAATTCCCCTTGGTGACCGAGATGCCATACCACCTCTACATCGGAGGCAACCCGTATCTGGAATCCTTGTACCATAGGTCCTTGTTTCCACGTTCAACCAGTGGTAGCGAGAATTCGAGTCAGGAAACCGAAGTTCAAGGTGTCAAAAAAGATAACCGGCGTGTAGTAGACAATGACATTCATCATAGCGCGTACGAGATGCCGTACCACACTGCGCAAATGGTTGAACCATTGATGGAAAAGGTCACCGCAGCACCATAGGCCAGGGTCATCTCCGATGATCACTTGTTCAGAAGGCTCATTTCCTCCTACTTTTGTTACCCTCATCCTTGCGGTCCTTTCATACACAAGGATTTATTCTTGGAAGACATGGCTGCGGGCCGGGCTACATTTTGCTCGCCATTGCTGGTCAACGCTATGCTTGCCAATGCTTGCGTATGAACCAGTATACCATACTGTATATAGTACAAAAGTTGACTTGAGGTAGCAAAGCTGCTCTACTATTCCAGACCATTCCAAGGTATGGTTGCCAGAGTCTCTGACATATAGATTCATGGCCGAAGCAAGACGATCGTGGGATTTTGAATCGTTGCCGGGCAGGAGCAAGATCCCGACCATACAGGCGGCGCTCATACTCAGCTAGAATACGACAAACAACGGCTTAGACGAGATCGGGACGATATATGCGAGACGGGCTTGTGAAATGAGCCAAGATCTTGGATTGTTTGGAGTTGGAGAGTAGGGAGCTGGTACAAAGATGGAGAAAGCTAGTCTCTACACAGCCTGGGCGGTCTTTTCTTGGCAGGCCATGTTCGACTGTTACTTCTTTCGTCCGCCATACTTCAGCCAACCCCCGCAAATAGCCTTGCTGAACCCGAGACTGCATCCTACCTGGTATGGAGAAGTTTATGTCCAGTATCCTCGAGGCTCACAACCGATGCCATTGCTGATTGGATGCAAATTTTATTCTGAGACAGCTCTACACAAGATCACAAACGATATAGGGCTGCTTACGTTTGGAAAGTCCTCAGCACAGATGCTTACTCTCAATGAGCTTGCTGCGATCAAAAAGAAGCTCGATCAATGGAGGACTCTATTGCCTGAGATATTCCAGCCAGAGAAAGTTGCGCTACCATCTCACCTGATGTTACAGTACGTGGCTTCGCCTTGTTTTCCTTGATCTGATACTGCCCCAGTGCGACATGGCCATTACCAAGAATCCCACCTATAGCCGTAACATGGCTATAGCGCTAATTCTGTGTGCAGTGTGCAATACTGGCAAATCGTGAAGTCTATAGCACAATTGATTGTGAAGGCGGAAAGTGTGGAAAAATCCAAGGCGGCGGCCCTGTGGCCAGAAAGTGGCCCCCAATCATTTCTCCATGAAGCCCGCGTCATACTTGAGACAGCCTGTTGCATATACTATGCACGGCACGGGTTTGAGTCTTGCGATCCCTGGGTTGCTTTTACATTGACAATAATTGGCAACACTATCATTGACGAACTCAAGGCAGGATCAAGCATTGATTCTCGTACTCTAGCAGGCTACCGTTCGCTCCTGATTCTCTCAGCGCAAGGTCTAGCTACCCAAAGTCACCACTACCATAATACTACACTCCTGGCAGTTCAGCTGCAGAGCGCAATGAGTCCTCAGGACCTGCAGTTGGTTTGCACACATGTGAAAGCAGCGGGCATGAGCAAATCGGAACAGTTGCTGGTGGCGGAGCATTCTCAAAGCCATTGGCCCCTATCAGGCAAAGTGGCGGATGATGAAGATCCGGAAAAAGTGAAATTGAAAACTTTACTGGAGGGTCTTGAGGAAAATCAGCTTTAGCGATGCGATGAGCGAGAAACGCGATATGCCAAATGGCGAAGGTGTGAAGAGCTTGACCATCATGTATGGAAAATGTAATTTCGGGTCTTTAGTTAATGTATTTGATGTTTTCTTCGAGAAATGGTTGCGTGCAGCTAACGAATACATGTCTTTGCCTCTTTCTGGATGCTATTGAATCATTGTAGAACTCGCATGTTATCGCCCTTGTTCGATGTTAGGATAGGGGTGGTGACATGTCTTATGGGCTTAGTCAAATGGTGTCCTTGACAGAAGACTTTACAAGTCAGAAGAAGAACAAAGACGTCATTTCTCAACGCATTGAGGACAAAGTCCTGTAAGGCAAGCCATACCGATAGGAAGACAAGAAGCGTAGCACTAACGAAAACGATTTATCCCTTGAGTTACAGGGATACATAAGTACATTCTTGATAAAGGGGTTTCGCCTTTTGAATAGGTTAAGCTTTAGTGGTACCGAACTCGAGAGGGATGTCACATTATTTATTCAATAAATCCTAGTCACAAAAGAGGTTAGTAAACAGCACTCACACCTTCCTTCACTTGGCTCTCGAACTGAAACTCTTAGTTATAGCGACGATTACACGATTACTGACGTGCATGACAGATATGCAGATTTATTCCGTACATATGGTACTACAAGGGAATCCGCCCTTTACTCCTATGTCCCTCGGCAACGACTTTGGTTCTTCTTCGTGCCTTTTACCTTGGATACTCGTGTTCATACCAACATACAATATTGAATATAACTTCTTGTTGCGAATAAAAGCTATAGCTCAAGTTGGACTGACCTCTTTAGCATAAAGCGTATTAGATTCTTTTGCTGGGAGGGGATTGATACCTTACGCACTAACCTCCTAAAAATAGAAAAGATGCTAGTTGGAGCGACTACGATAAGAAATGTTCCTAGAAATCTTACATCCGGCAATAGTTGCGTCTATTCAACGCCACTTGACAAGTAATCTCCAGCAAAGGATGACCTCGTCTAGCATATTGTTTCGACCAGTCACAAGAAACCAATTGAGCTATAAAGGTTGGTAAAAAGAGACTTGACGTCGTGAAATCTATTAATGCTATGATCGTATACCAAGTTCTTCTAGAACTTTTCCATCAAATTCTTTCTCACAGTCCACATTCTGGCTCTCTTGCCGTATATGTACATGGGAATTGAAAAGAGCATGCAGCCAAGTTGGATACCTCCAATGGCCAAAAAGGTATTTTTGCTCCCGCTAGACTCAAGCCAGTGCGGGAAAAAGAGTGAAAAGATGAAACCATGCAGAACGTCTGAGAAATACATTAGTGTCTGTCAAAGATCATGCTGTGTCGGGCAATAGAGGAAAAGGCCATGACTTACTCTTTGAAAAGTTGAGGGTGACGAGTGCTTCACCCGCATACATGCGATAACTGTCAACAACAAAAGTAATAGCAGTAGTACTAGCCAGCGAGCAGCCGAAACTGATGACACCGAAGAAAACGGTTGGTACAATCCACTTGTCCTTCTCTTCGGCGCTCCAGCCAAAACCCATGAGTCCGATCACAGTACTGATGGCAATGGGAACGGCCATGAGGAGACGGAATTCCGGCTCGTACACGCCGTCATTTTTGCGAGCCATGAAACGCACGACCAAATCAGAAACTCGACCCGCCACCGCTGTGCCAAGGACACCACCGATAAAAGGCGAGATGTAGACAAGACCAACTTGAAGTGGAGTGAAGTTGTACGAGGTATCCCGATAGATGTGTGCTACTGATTCGGACAAGACAATGAGCCAGCCGACTGCGAGCGCGTATACGAGCGAGGACCAGAGAACCGCGGGGTAGGCAAAGAGAATGAAGGGTCGGATGGCTACACGAAGCCATTTGTCCTTGGCAAGACGGCCGTTCCATGGCTTGAGGGAATCGCGATATGATTTTGGTGGCGCATCACGATAGTAGTCGGTGTAGTGGATAGAATATTGTTCCGAAATCTGATCGCTATCAGGAGCGGAGTCCGAGGTGGCATGTCCATCTTGAGCCCGAAGGTCTTGTTTCTCTGGATCTGCGTGAACAGCTGGAGAGACGTTGCCAAAATAGTCGTGACCTTGTGTGTCTTTGGGAGTAGAATGGACGCTGATTTGGGAACGGGGTGTTGGCGGAGCGCTGGCTTGGCGTGTGCTTTCGTCGACTACACTCACATTGTGTGTCTTCTCAGCGGGTTCCGGGTCGGCGAATCCGACATGCACATTCTTGTTTCGCTTGACCGGGTGCTCCGTAGGTGACGCTAGTGGCGATGCCATAGGGGAATGGACCTGCGGTGTGGCCGCCACCGAAGCTGTCTGCTGTCCTTGAGGGGTTTCTGCGGCCTTCTTGTGGTGCAAGTTGGGTAGGTGAAAATGGCTATGGTGTTTACCAGGGCTCTGGCTGCGGGCACGCGTATGCCTTTTGTGGGGTTTTGGTGCTCTGTCCCAGAAAGTCTCGGGCACAAAGAAAAAGATGAGGAAGAAGCAGAAGCCGACAATGATGGACGTAATCCAGAAGACCCATCTCCATCCTAGCGATTGTACAATGGCGGCGCTGACTAGTGGAATCAAGTTCTTTCCACCAAGCAGCAGCAAAGTGTATATGCCAAGGCGGTAGGCTCGCTCGTGGAGGAAGAAGATCTCGGCGATGGTGGCACTAGGCAGACATTCGACGGGAGAGACAGCGAAGCCCTGGACAATGCGAGCGACGACCAGCGAGGCATAATTGGGCGACAGGGCACACCAGATTGAAGACAGGGTGAAGAGAATGATGGCGCCCAAATAGACGGGTCTCTTTCCGTACAAGATGGCGGTGGGTGAGGCAACAACGCTGCCCAGACCGAGGCCTAACATGTACAGGCCGGTTGTCAGAGCGACCTGTGGTATCGTCACGTCGTACGTCTCGGCCACGTCGTTGAAGCCAGCTGCGAGCAAGGGCGTCATGCCTCCTCCGATCATGCAGTAAAAGCCGAGGGAGAGCAGGGCAAGGTCTCGTCGTACTTGGTTCCAGTTGAGAGGGTCGTTTGCCGAGTCCTCGGGCTGGGGTTCGAGGATGAAGCGGCCATCCTTGGTACGCTTCTTCTCTGGGCGGCGTGAGCGCGAGGAGTGGCGGGAGCCGTGTGAGACTGTGCGGTGGGGCTGTGGGCGTTGTGTGGTAGGCAGGGATGAGGTCGAGGTGCGGGCGTGGGCGTGCTGGAGACCCAGTGGCTCATTGCGGTTGTGGACGCGCGAAAGGAGGATGACGGAGCCTACAGATTGAATCATGTTAGATGGATTCTGGCGCACCGAGAATTGCGCAGCAGAGGCATACCAGGCACTTCGTCAGTTTCGGGGTCGCTCAATATGCCCAGATTCCATCTACGTCGCGGCGCATCACTTTCCTGTGTGGCCACGGCTGTGGAAGTGGCGCCGTTTTGCTCGACTGATTGCGTCTTGCGCCAGGGAGTAAACTTGACCATGGCAGGCCAGAATGCACAGTGAGGAGCAAAGGGAGTCTACAGAGCAAGAAGAAGAAGAACCAAAAAAAAAGCAACTGGGCAGACGGACTATATGGTCTGACCCAAGGTTAGTTTACAGAGCACGCGTCTCACGCGGACCTTTTTTTCCCCACACACACATGGGTCCGATTCGATGGCGAGCCATGGACGGGCATTGGGCTCCAGGATGGTGGGGAGGCGCGATAAGAACAGGTGACGGACGTGTGGGGAGTCCATGTCCATGTTGGAGAGGGCAGAACAGGCATGTGGTCGGATTGCTGAGAGGCAAAGGCGGGTTGGAGAAGGCTAAGAAGGCTAAGAAATGGGGGTATCGCGGCTGGCGTTGCGAAGGAGCGGCACAATGACGCACTACCAAACCTCATGTGATGTCGGATCCGCTTCCCTCGGCCTTCCCATTGGCTGGTGCTGCGCTCACCGTCTACACATACACAGCAGTCAGCCTCCCTGCTCCGAGGGTCCAACCCTCCCGACTTGCTGCTTGACACGCCTAACACGACCACGCACCGCCACAACTTGGGAACATGACCGTTCTACTACACTCCCCTCTACACACCATCTGCCCTTCCTTGCCCGGCTCGCCGGAGCCGCGTCTGGCTCTTCACCACGTGCTCTTCACCCTTGGATAGCCTGCATTCACATTGCATCCACCACACTGCTCGCCTATTCCACCTTCACTCGCCTACACTACACGTCGTTGTTTTACGGCCCACCTCCCAAGCACAACATATCGTCATATCGCATGCCCAAGCATCAGGCCTCATGTCGGTCTGTTGCGGCGGCACTGCACATGCCCTGCTGTTGCCGCCAATCTTGGGCTCACCGCGCATCTATCAATGTATGCCCATGACTCGCTGGTCATCGTCCCTCGTTTACGAGGCAGGGTGCGGGCCACCATCTTGTCCTTGCCAACACACTCCACACATACTTACCTACATGTCCAAGTATGTACGCATGCATGTTGATACTACTCACATACATACACATTCACTCTCTTACTCACTCATTCAACCGCGACTCATGGCATACACACTGCCAACCAAGAAACAAGGCCTCGGCGCATACCTCAGCGTCTTGGAATACGACAACATCGTTCGATTCCTGTTCTACATGCTGTCTTCCCTCCACCTCGACCTCACCTTCTGCCATCCCTCCATCTCCCCCTTGCCGCCCCTCTTCTCCAGCCCCAGCCCTCTGTCCACCCATTCCTGACTACCCATCTCGCTCAACCTAGACAGAGCCCGAGCAAATGCAAACTTCTCCTCATCCCCGCTGAAAATGGACGAGTTCTTGAGCATGTCCATGTTCATGCCCAGGTCATCCATGAGATTGCGCATTACATCTGAAATTGCTTCTTCGTCATCCTTGTCGCCTGCCGGCGACTTTTGCGATGACGGTGAAGACGAAGAACCAGGTAGCTTTCCCGCCTTCTTCGTTGCTGCTACCGCATCGCTGAGCTCGGCTTCGTCAAGGAAGAGGGCTGTCAGAGGCA